GCTTAGTTACAAAGCTGTAGTGGCGGCCTCCAGAGGGCGTGGCTAATGTGCTAGAGCAATAACGTTGATTTCATCAATGTATTTACTGATGAAGTCTTCACAGAAGAGTGACTTTATATCTGAAATTTTAAAACACCTATATAGAGAACTATGCAACATTCATAAAACGCACCAAGGCATTGGACTTGGTAACATTGTTGGGAAAACAAGAATAGAACAACTGCCTCCCCAGCTAGCATGTCGTAGGAGTCGACTATGGGGGCTTCCTTTGAAGTCGGAGTGCATCTGCCTGAGCAGCAAGACACAATCAGCTGCACAGAAATAAGCTAGTAAAACGGATTTACACGCAAAACTCAGGCCCTGGCATGAAGCCAAAGTCCAAATGGACGAACAACCAGGACTTTCTGTAGGAGCTTATAGCTGGTGAACAAAGAAGAAGCTATGTTCGACACTTATTGGCGAATTTGTAATAAATTTAGTCCACTGTTAAATAAACAGTAAAATACTTTTTTCTTCGTAATGCAAGCGGTTACAACCGTTACACTCGCGATTCACTGCACAATACATTACAACAGATGACTAAGTACGCTGTGCTAAGACCAAAGTGTTCCCGATATCTCCAGTGACCTCAGCCTTGCGTATGTCAACAGATCGACGAGGTGGAATCCACGTCACAACAGGGCCCCGGATTGCGTCCAGTGATAAAAATGCTCTAAATTTGGACGAGGGGAAAACACCTCGGGTCACGACCACACGTGATTGGTGTTACAGTGTGTTGTATTTGGGTACAGATGATGTGACTTTGCCTGTGTTTCACTAAGTCATTCATTAATTTCAGCAGCCGTCCCTGGGGACTTCCCACAAATGGTAAGTAAGGTGTTTTATTATCTGTTTTTGAAAACATTGCGAGATCTGTTGATACCGTTGGCGCGAACAGCAATAATTTAATAATTAATGTAATAGGCATAGAGTACTGTACTCTCACTAATAGCTGGCCATCAGTAATAGTAGTCAAGTAGTAGTAGTACTTAAGTACTTCTTCTTTTGTTCGCTTAAAATAGATTATCTATGTTTGCAATGTTGTTTCTTAAGTACTAATAGTAGTAGTAAGTAGTACTAGCAGTAGTAAATAATAGTATATTAAGTAAGTGATACAAACTAGTGGTATTAAAGAGCAGTCAGTTAGTAGTAAGTAGTAGTAAGTAGCAGTAAGTAGTAGTTAGTAGTAGTGATAATAAATCTAGTGGTAGTGCTACCACCATTATTACTACCATTATGCTACTTCTATATCACATCTGCTACTTTTACTATACTATAAAGTATAATGCTGCTGCTAGTAATAATACCACGACCATCACCAACACCACCACCACCACTACTGCTGGTACTACTACTTCTGCTGCTACCGTTTATACTACATAATGGAGAAGGAACACCGATAGCCACTGTTGTCTGAGCGGCTGCCCGTCCACTTTGTATGTGAATAATATTCATTTATCTCTACACAGTGCTTGTATGTCAGGCTTCATTCATCTCTACACAGTGCTTCTAAGTGAGGCTTTATTCATCTTTACACAGTATTTGTATGTCAGGCTTCATTCATCTCTACACAGTACTTGAATGTCAAGCTACATTCAAATATCCAACTTAGATGTCTAGTGTCATCATTTATCACTTTAAAAAAATGCAAATCGTCAGTTTATATGATATATGCCAGGCGGGTTTGCTTTCCTAGTGTCACTGCTCAGAGAGCACCCCAACCTTTCAAGCTGTGGTGTCAACACCATGAAAACTTGTTAAGGGGGCACTCAAGGGGCTTAAATCTAGTTTAAGATAATAATAATAAAAATAATAATAGTAGTAATAATGATAACAATGTCCTGAATCAGAAATAAAACAATAATGTGTTAATGTATTTGAATTAATATACAATGTATAAAAAGATACCTTTAAAGAGAATTTCTATATATGGATAAAAATGGCTACTTAGCTCCCCCCCCCCTCCCATACATGAAGTCAAGAAGATATAACTAGTCTGACTGACCGTTGTCTCCCTGTGGGCTGCTGCGACTTGAAGAGTGACATCCTCGATGGCAACATAGCAAATTTCATCGCAGGAGCTACAGGTCACATACTGTGCTCGACACCTGGTGATGAGGATGAAGTGCTGGGAATGCTGGGAGTGCTACGATGTCGGTTCTTGACTCAACTGTAACTCATCTCAGATATCATGGTCGACCTCCTCAGAACACTTTTAATGGCTATACCAAACACTATCTGACGTATCCTGTCATCCCTGGATGGGCAGTTGTTTTTGACTGCACCCAGCATGGTTTGTGTTGGCAAGTGGCCTGTTGTGGTGCCTTATGCAATTAATTGCATGTGCAACTACTGATCTGTTGTAACTGCTGCTTCCACCGATGATGAACTGTATTTCTAGTGCCAGCTATTTGTTTTGGCACTTCTGACAGCTGCTTTATGCATTTAATATACATGAATGCTGTTGGCTTTGCAAAAACCACAGTTTGTGTCATTTTTTTTCTTTTCACAAGGGACAGTGATGGACATTCTGCATAAGCATAACTAATTAAGCTATAGCTTGAGGCCTGACAGTCTGCAGGGGCATCTCAACAAATTCCTATGTTTGGTTTACACTTGCAATTTTCTTTGGTGCTTTCATCTTAATTAACCCCAAACAAGGGAAAATTAACTGCTGACGGTACAGTTGACTATTTCAGGGGGTGGTATCATGTCATTTGCTGTGCAAGTCTGAGTTTTGTGAGAATCTTGTTCTTTTATTAAAGCCTTCAACAGAATTATGTGATATAATTTCCGTGATTTTGCAAACACAATCTTTATTCAAGCAATTTGAACATCAAAGACAAACAATAGATTGCACAATTTATTGCGTTGCATATTTTGCTGTATCTCGTCAGGTGCCTGTTATCAGATTTAAAACTACTGTAATCCCCACGCCACAAGAGAAAGAACAAGTGTTAACGTACACCAAATCTAATTGTATTTACCAATTTAAATGTACCTGTAAGGCTGCATATGTGGGCAGAATCGATCGACAACTGGAGAAACAGGTTGCTAAACATATTCCACTATGGGTGGTAAAAATGAGACGATAATATATTTTAATCATCAATATATGTAAAAGGCATATATATTTTAAAGTTTCCTGATATTAGCTGGTGTCATTTAAAATAGTAGGGGCCTCAGGTTTAATGTAGTTTAGAGTATCATCAAGTCTAAATCTGGCCATATACAAGGTTTAAATGGGGCACCACAAAACGGTTACAAAGTAAAAAACAGTTACAAAGTAGACAGTAGTCCAGTGTGGGTAGCGTTTTTCAACAGTTTTTAAGGAGTTGTAAACATTATTGGAACTTTCAGCAGCGTAGATTTGCCTGTGTGGTTGTCAGAACTAAAAGTAGCATGCTGGCTAAGGCACTGCACTTTTTCTAATTGTTATAAATTACACATAAACTGACATTTAACCTGCGACAGCAGATAATGGCAATGGCTGCCGGTTCATGACCTCTATACTTCCGACAACAATAATAGTACATCCATCATTGTTATGCTGAATGACGTCGGGGAGGGTTGGGGGAGGGTGTAACTTTTGCCGGCATGTTAACTGACAATTCTATGGTAATGTGGTAGTGCACTTATCTGAGGCTGCAAAGATGCAGGGTTTGAATCTAGTAAGATGCTTCACACCTAAATATTATTGTGGGTTCTTGGTGGCAAGTGGTTAAGCCATTTGTCTTGGGCTTTCGAGGGATGGGTTCCGTTACGAACTCCAGTCTTTATTTTCTGAGTGCAAGTGTTCCAGAGATTCCCAGAGATCTTTACTGCAGTTATGGAGTCCATGCTTCCAATCTGTGGAGAGGGATCAAGTCATATGGAATAAAAACAATCTCAGTGTAGTCAGTCCTCTTGTCTTTTACATTCCCTAACCTTGTTGCCCCGAGAAGACTGAATATGTGCTACACTCTCTCTCTCTCTCTCTCTCTCTCTCTCTCTCTCTCTCTCTCTCTCTCTCTCTCTCTCTCTCACACACACACACAGATACACAAACACGTACACACACAAAAGTAATGAATAGCTACTGAAAGCAACATAATTTTGTCATCATTTTGAAATTCAAAATCTTTGTAATTTAATGAGTGAAACTTTTAAAATTGCAGAAAAAAAAATACCTTTCGATTCAACCAATCACTTGACAGTTCTTTTGCATCTGGATCATTGATAGTTTTTAGGCATATGACCTTTTCTGTCAACTAATAAAAATGTGCCATCGGATATATATATATATATATATATATATATATATATATATATATATATATATATATATATATATATATATATATATATATATTCACTGTGTTTTATTGATTACCCCTTTTTATGTATTAACAAAAAATATTTTAAAATGTAGATAAATACATTTTAAAGTTTTATTAGTGACCTGTGTGACCCACAATTTCAGTCATTGATCCCTTTGTTTTAAGCATCCGCAGGGTGAAAAAGTATAAGCTTCACACCATGAATCGAACCAGATCTGCTTAAGTTAGAGTCGTGTGTATTTCTCTGCCATTTGGCTTTCACTTTGACTGTATCTTGATTTTATAATTATAGCCTCTGAAACTGAAAGTCAAGAGGCGCCTCCTTGCTCGGTCGGAGCGTGTAAAGAGCATTGAGTTGCACCCATCAGAACCTTGGATGTTGGTTGGCCTATACAGCGGGCGAGTCTACATTTGGAACATTGATACAAAGGTTAGTTTGTCACTGGCAGTACAGCTATTATTATTGCAATGATACCTAGATCATAATTTACAAAAAAATTATAAAAATATGCTCTTCATCATAGAGTCCGTCGGCTCTGTGGCTAAGTCAATGCAAACGCTTCGTAATGCTGGGATGCTGGGTCAGATCCCAGCTGCGGGCCATGTGACTTGCGTTGGTTTCGACAGTGGTATCAAGAAAGCTGACCGTCCAGAAAGCAGTGGCAAACTACTGGACGTAAATTTGCCTTGAAAAACCACACAACTGCCAGGGACTGTTGGGGTTGGTTCTGCAATGTCCTGTAAAGGATATCCAACTATCCTAACCTCTTAGAGTCCATGCCGTGTGGCATGTATCCACAACCTTCTGTCTCGTGCACTTTCAATCAACTCTGACACAGATGATCTTCCATGCCATGATGTCAAACTGTCAAGCATTTGTTCTCTCGGTCTCCCTCTGCCTCTCCTCTCCTCCAACTTTCCTACTGTCACGATGTACTCCAGTTTTCTCATTCTCAACACATGACCAAAGTACGTAGATTGTCTCCTTCTGATGTGGGCAGTCAGTTCTGTTAGTAAGTCAGTTTCTTTCAAGACGTCTTCATAACTCTTTTTTTTATCTGTCCAGGGTATTCTCAACATTCGTCTATAAAACCACATCTCCACAGCCTCCAAATAAGTTGTCACCAATTTACTAACTGTTAATATGTTACATATAAAAAAGAAATCAGCTAGCATTGACTGGCAGAACAGAGACCCAGATCTGAACCCTTATTAAGATTATGGGAATTTTTGTGTGTCTGTGGCAGTAATATAATCCTGACCAACACAGTTCACGGTGTCTGCACTCCTATGCAGTCTTAATTCCTCAGCCTGAAAGATCTTCCTGTCTACACCACGGGCGCAGTAATTGATTTAAAATAACAATAATAATTAATATAATAACAGTTGTTGTACATTACTGAGTTGTTACTACAGTGCCTAGTGGAACTCAGTTGTTTCATCATCACCATAATCATCAAGTCACACTCATCAGAATTATCAATACTATAATTGCTATAATCTTTCTAGCTACTAATACTATTAGATCACCACCACAACCTGTATCCTAACATACTTGTTATAAGAGATGTTTAAGGACATCACCACCACAACCTGTATCCTAACATACTTGTTATAAGAGATGTTTAAGGACATCACCACCACAGCCTGTATCCTAACATACTTGTTATAAGAGATGTTTAAGGACATCACCACCACAGCCTGTATCCTAACATACTTGTTATAAGAGATGTTTAAGGACATCACCACCACAGCCTGTATCCTAACATACTTGTTATAAGAGATGTTTAAGGACATCAATCACCACCACAACCTGTATCCTAACATACTGTGGATGGAGGTTTTGTGTGTGACTGGCTACCTGTTCTGTAGACTTCGGCTGCAAAACCCAAATAATCATCGAAAAGCAGTTGTTATCTACATTTGAGGAAATTTGCTGAGGAAGATAGAGCATCTGTAGGTATGCCTGGTATGCTTAACCTCTTCACTTTGTGAATGCTGAAAAAGTGCCATAAACCCGTAGGAATTTCTAGGGAAAAATCCTGAAAACAAAACCCACTTTTCACAAGTCACTAATAAATTTGTTAAAATGTCAGTGGTGGATTATGGCCTTAGACTGCTTAGTGTCTCAAAGAGTCAGATGGACAAACTAGAGCGCATACAGAACGCAGCTATGCAGGTCATTCTGGGTTGCACCAGAGACACCCCAGTGGTGTGTATGCGATACATCCTTGGTTTGCCGACAGTTGCAGGTAGGCACAAGGTGCTGCAGGCAAAGTCATATTTCAGGGTAGCTGCAGACACAGACCACCCTCTACATGAAGCTCTGGATGCAGTTAAGGGTCAGCGGCTGATAAGAGGGAGGTCATGGATGGCTCAGGTAGAAGACACAATCAAACAGGTTTGCATCCTTGAGAACATTAGGCGAGGAGAGGAGTGGGTCAAAGTGCCACCGGAGCAGTCAGACCTGTGTAGAGTCATAATCACGCTGAGCCGGGAATGCAGAGACTGGTCAGCAGGTGCCACAGAGGTGGAAATTCAGCAATAAATTCAAGATAATGCTCGCTCAGAGGATTTGATCATTTACACAGACAGTTCAGTGTCAAGAGGCAAAAGAAGTGCTTGGGGCTTCTTAGCAAAAGTTAATGGTCGACGTTTCGTGCAGGAGAGCCTAGCATATGATACCACAACATCCAGCTTAAGAATGGAGGTGGAGGCGGTCACTGCAGCTTTCCGCTGGCTAGAGAACACCACACACACACACATCGTGATTGTAACTGATTCAGAAAGCATGCTGGGGAAGATCAGAACAGGTATGCTTCGTGCTTCGCTGCGGAGGACACCAGTGAGGAGTATTGTCTGGATTGTCTGCTGTGTTGGGAAATGAACAGGCAGACAGACTGGCTGGCTCTGCACAACTTGGTGGAATACTGATATATGATAGGGCAGACGTGGTTAGTGCCTTGTGGGAGAGCGTGTACAATTCGGAGGAGCAGATGGATCACCACAGTCTGGTGAGATTGATGCAGTTGGGGGTGACGAGAGGTTCTGACAGAAGCTCGAGGCTCAGAGATTATGTATATATATATGTGTGTGTGTGTGTATATATGTATTTATGTATGTATGTATGTGTGTGTGTGTGTGTGTATATATATATATATATATATATATATATATATATATATATACACATATATAATATATATATAACGATATGTACACAGAGTAATCAACAAATATGCACATACTAAAGCATTAAATGGAGTACATGCTCAGGGGGCTACACATATATCGGGTGGCTCATGCTGTGACCTCTATCCCTGAGGCTACAGAACATTTTTATATCAATATGGTTTAAAAAACCCCATTATGTTTACAAGAAAAACCCCCAAATGTTGTTTTTAGCACACCTATACTACACAAACATGAATGTATATATGTGTGGGTATGTATACATACGTACATAGATACATACCTTGAGATCCTTAATGCTTACAGGTGCAAACACAACCAGTAGCATTAACCTGTTGTCTCAGATATAGGCCACTATAGAAATGTTGATTAAGTGGCATTTATAAGGGACTAGCTTTACCCGGCCACGCGTTGCTGTGGCTTAATTTGGCTAAATGGAAAAGAAAGAAAATAGAAATCAACCTGTCTAATATAGTTACTGTCGCAATCATTTTCTGTGCAGATATAGAGATAGTCTTCGATGCCCCCCCACCCCCACCACCATTAAATCCACCTTCTACTCTCTTCCTCATCGAAAATTTTGAAAAGAAAGACAATAGAAATCGCACGTGTCTAATATAGGTAATGTCACAATCATTGTCTGATCAGATATAGAGATAGTCTGGTTTGCCGACTTTAGAACCCGCAACATATAATTGTGTCTTTATATTAGTGGTCGTTATTAGCGCAGTAAAATATAATGGTTATTTGGTTATCACATGCTAAAGCTGTTTGATTTTTTTTTTAGAGACGGAAGTAACACTTACTACTGTACTTGTAAATAACCAAGTAAGTTGTAAAAAAAAAATTAGAATAGCGGAGGGAGCGTTAGTAAAATATAAACACATTAAGAAATGAAAACTTTAAAATCATGTGTCATGCTCTCTAAGTTAACAATTTCTGTCATCACCCCCTCCCCTCCCCCATCCACTGAGTACTGCTCTCTCCCTCTTCGAAGGATTTTAAAGTCATCACCTAACGACATTTTTTTGTAACTGACCTTGATATCCCTGTCCATCCGGACTAAAATGGTGAGCAGGAATTTTAATGAGTAGTAAATGCGGCTAGTGTAATATTTACCACACTATCCTTCAAGGACCAGTACAACTACTACCACCACCAACACAGTAACTAAAATAATGTCACTGCTATCTGTTTTACCATCGGAGTGGGCAGGGAGTCGTGAGCCAGAGGATTTAACACCGAATAGCTAGTGCTTTTGTTACGGACTGGTCAGGTTAGGAGGTGTAATTTAACTCCCCGACATAACTACGGTGTAACCGCCCAACCACAACTACTACTGCTGCTGCTACTTTGAGTGGGTGAGGCAGTTACTGTGACTTAATTATCTCTCAGTTAACAGTTTTATGCCCCCCCCCCCCCACCCACCCAATTCCCCGACTACTCTCACCCTCATCGAAGTAGTTGGGAGAAAAAACCCAAGGGAAAAGCAACTGAAAACAGGAAAAATACACTATAATTACGAAATGAATGCTATGGTAAACAACACAGGCAAATTCCAAGGTAATGTTAGACGAAATAATTAAATAAAAATAAAATAAATGGAAATCTATGAAATTCAGTGTAACCATGCAATCAGAAAAGTTTGAAATGAAATTATAAGTATGCGAAATGGTCAAATTTCATTATCAACTGGTTTACCCACATACCTGTACTTTTTTTTCAGTATTTGGGTCCACATGGCTAGTGCTGTCGCCAAGACAGTGGAGGTGAGGATTTTATTTTGCCCCCACCCCCCGGTAAAAAAAAATTTTTATGCCGCACTGGGGATTCGAACCCTGGTCTCCCACACAGGAGCCCAGTGTTCTAATCGTTCGGCCAACCAACCACTCCTTCTGATTAACGAAAAGAGATCTAAACTATTGGAGATTGTCCTGACTATTATTTCCCGATTAATACAATTCACAACCGCAGGCAATTTTTTTTCTCATAGACAGATATCCCAGATATAAACTTCAAGTATTATTGAAACGGCACAACAATAGAAATCGCACGTGTCTGACACGGTTAATGTCGCAATCATTGTCTGCACAGATATTGAAATTGTCTTTGATTCCCCACCCCCCCATCTGAACTCTCAAATCCACCGATCACTCTCTAACTCATGGAATCTTGTTTGAAAAGAAAGAAAATAGAAATCGTGTCTAATATTGTTAATGTGGCAGTCATTGCCTGAACAGATATAGAGATAGTCTGGTTTGCTGTACATATCTCGCGGGCAAATGGTAGAAGTCGTGCGTTCCGACTACTGGGCATGCGCATTTCTGAACATGGCTTTAATTAAATGTCACAAAAATGAAAATATTAGTTTCGAAAATTTTCCCAACTAATGTCGCCACCTATTTCAAACCATGACAGGTAGAATTCCGGGATCAAAACAAACATATCCTGAAAATTTCAGCTAAATTGGTTTAGTAGTTTCAGAGTCAATAGGTAATAAACACAAACATTGATTTATATATATATATATAAATAAAAATTAAACTCAGATACTGACACATCTGCTTGGGAACAATCTATATATATATTTACTACTCATTAATATATATAGATTGTACCCAAGCAGATGTGTCAGTATCTGAGTTTAATTTTTATTTTTACTCAAGATTCTATTGTTATTGTAACCAAAATTATTGTATTCACGTAGCAAATTTTGAAAACCCTTGATGTCAGTGACCTTCCTGTGAGAGCTGCCAGGTTCGTGTCCAGAAAGAACTGGGTCATCACAGGATCAGTGAGTAGTCTAGAAAATAATACATCATGAACATCATCATGTGTCCTGCTGATAAATGCAGGTGGCCATGTTTTGTCAGCTCATCCGGCATACCCGTGCATTTAAGCAACTCTGCTGTCAACTCATCCGGCATACCCGTGCATTTAAGCAACTCTGCTGTCAACTCATCCGGCATACCCGTGCATTTAAGCAACTCTGCTGTCAACATTTTATATTTGTGAATAGGAGACTTTACATTTATACTTATTCCCTGTGTGGGTTCCGGGGCCCCCATTTTGGGGAGGACAAGAATAAACTCACTGCCTACCCATACAAGCAAGTCGTAAGAGTCAACTAATTGGGGGTTTCTTTTGAAGTCCCAATGCATCTGCCTGAGAGGCAAGGACCAACAGTCTGCATACAATTAGGTCAGATCTGTAAAACGGATGAAATGGAGTCCCAACACCTTTTTCCAGCACCGTTGGACTCTCTCAGCAGCATTCGTCTCAAGAGTTTCTCTTGGACATCCACATTTCCTCATTCCATTTGTTTCCTATTTCACTGCCTATTTAGTGATTATGTATCCACTTCACCTCATGAAGTGCTCAGTGTTATCACCGTCTTCTTTTCCTTATAACTGTTGATACAAGCAGTTGTCCACACATTTCTCCTATTTCTTCACACCTCTTCGATTCATTCCATTTTATGTGTATCCTTTTCCTCAGGTATTTGTTTTGGAATGTATTTAACTTTTGTTCCATGTCTTGAGTCGTTCTTCAGCTTTCATCAGCATATAGTAAATTAAAATAACATTAAAACTGAAAAATACATAACTTGGTTTTAACACTAAATACAATTCCATATTTTGTCTAGACTTTTCAAAGCTTCTTCCTGTGTGGGTTCCAGGGCCCCACTGTGGGGGAAGACAAGAGTAGACCCACTGCCTCCCCAACAAGCATGTCATAGGAGTCAACTACCTGTGGACTTCTTTCAAAGTCAGAGTGCATCTGCCTGAGTGGCAAGGAGCAACCAACTACACACAAATAAGTCAGTAAAACAGATGTACATGCAAAACCCAGGCCCTGGTACAAAGCCAGAGTCTAAATAGGCGAATAACCCAGACTTTCTGCCGGAACTTTCAGCCTGTGAACAAAAAAAAAAAAGAAGAAGAATAAAAGCTTCTCTTGCCCTGCTAAAGTGTACCATAATGTATTCTTATATTGCTGTTTACTGATGCAGTTTGAAGACCTCTTGTGGCTGTAGGTTATGCTGTTTGCAGGGAATCAAGTTGTAAGTATGCATATTGATTTTTACCCCCACCCTGCAGGATGATACATGTCTTCGTGTGTTCAACTATAATACGCTGGAATACGTCACACAGTTCTCTGCACATGTGGATTTTATACGATCTGTTGCTGTACACCCATCCAGCCCATTTGTCCTTACAGCAGGAGGTACAGTTGTGTTGCCAGCTTGGATTTATTTATTTCATCTCCTGTTTTCCTACCATGTACTCTTCCTTTCTTCCTTCCTTTCTGTCTATCTTTCTACTTTCCTCTCTCCATCACTTTTTTCTGTCTTTCTTGCTTTTTCTGTCTTTCTTGACAAAGTAATTTGAGGCTTAGGAAGAGAAATAAACAAATTCTGTTGAAGCAAAAAATGAGGACAAGTTTGAAGAGAAAGTCTGGTAATAGTGCAACAAGAATGTCTGTGCACTGGAATCCACTGGGAAGAAAAAGAGGTAGAGTGAATCCTAAAGTCATATGTAGATGAGAATTAGGAACACAGTTGCAATAATGGATAATACTTGTACATGAATGAAATGAATGAATAAATGAAGGAACTGAATGAATGCTTGCATAAACTGAATGCATGCATGAACTGAATAAATGAATAAATTGACTGAATATGAATGAACTGAATAAGTGAATTAACTAAATGAATAAATGAACTGAATGAACAAATTAACTGAATAGATGAACTAAAAGAATGAACGAAGTGAATAAATGTATACACTGCATTTGGGATATTTCATCAGATTAGAAACAGAGACATGAATATGGGGAGGGTATGGGGTGAGCTGCAGCAAATGGGAATACTTGGCATCAGTTTGTTGAGAGCCTATGCTTCAGTGCTTAATAAATGGCAGAAAAAAAACAACTTTTATGTTCTTCCAGTCATAAAACACAGTGTAACTCACTATGCATTTACCAGTTATTATTCGTGCATTTATTTTCTTTTCTTTCTCTGTCTATGTGGGTTCTAGGGCCCTTTGATTGGGGGGGGGGGGGGGGGGGGGGTAATAGACCTGACCCACTGCACCCCTAGTAAAAGCAAGTCATAAAAAGTGACTAATTATGGGTTTTTCCTTACAAAATCGAAGTGCGTCTGTCTGAGAGACGAGAAAGCAACTGCATACAAATAATCCAGATCTGTAAAACTGATATGCTTGCAAAAACTCAAGTTCTGGAACAAGACCACAGTCCAGAAGTGGTAGAGCAACCAGAACAGCTAGTGAATGTGAAGAAGAAAAAAATATACTTTCTTTTAAAAACTCTTTAAAACCATGCACTTGTACATTATCTTATTATATTCTATATTTTACTAAAACTCATTTTGTTTTATGGTGTTGTTGTTTGTTTAACCCGTTAGATAACAAATATTTAGGAAACTGATTTATGGTAATGCCTAACAAGGCCCACAGAGTTAAACATGAATGAATGAAAATGTGTGAATTTATCTTCTTCTTTTCGTTCATCATGTAAATGAATGAAAGAATACATGAAAATGTATGAATGAATGAATGAAAATTAATAAATAAATGAATAATTAAATGAGTAAAAGTACAAATAAATGAATTAATAAAAGTATGAATAAATGAAAATATGAATAAATGAAGGAAAATGAATAATTTGAAAACTGACAGCAGTAAATTTGTCCCTGCTCAGATGATGGAGTCATCAAGCTGTGGGACTGGGAGAAGAAATGGGCCTGTTCCCAGGTGTTCAAAGGACACACCTTCTGCATTATGCAGATTGTTTTCAACCCAAAAGACAACAACCAGTTTGCCACAGCCTCGCTGGACAGGTCAGTCAAGGTACTTGCTGGTGTCATCTTCACGTGCATGTTCTGTCACTTTTCTGTGTGCGTCAGTTTAGTTTATATATTCATCACGAAGTGCGTGTGTGAGTATCTACCTACATACCTGATGGCCTGACAACCTGTCTACATATCTTCCTACCTGACAACCTGCCTACATATTTACCAACCTGGTCTGACAACCAGTTTACTTGACAGTTTACTACCTTACAACCTGCAAACTTGACAACCTACCTACCCAATGATGTTGGCTCTCTAGGTCCGCCCAGCCTTGAGTGGGTACCAGGTAAGTCTTGGGAAGTAAAGGCAGCCGGCATGATGCTGAGCACATCACCCACCGAGTCCGATTGTTCTATTTAGAAAAAGGTCTAGCTCTGTATGCCCTGTACGCTTAAAGGTCTGCAAAAGGGTCGTTGATTTTTTTAAAAATTAATCTATATACCAGACAGATCGGCTCATCTGGGAGCCTATTTATATATGTAAATAATCTGACTAGAAACTGCAAATATAATGCAGGTCTGTCTGTCTACTGGTAAATATATTAATATCTCACTAGAAATTGAAAATATGATATATGTATGGCTGTCTGTTGGGTATATAGATTTATTTCTCACTAGAAATTGAAAATATGACATATGTATGGCTGTCTGTTGGGTATATAGATTTATTTCTCACTAGAAATTGAAAATATGACATATGTATGGCTGTCTGTTGGGTATATAGATTTATTTCTCACTAGAAATTGAAAATATGACATATGTATGGCTGTCTATTGGGTATATAGATTTATTTCTCACTAGAAATTGAAAATATGACATATGTATGGCTGTCTGTTGGGTATATAGATTTATTTCTCACTAGAAATTGAAAATATGACATATGTATGGCTGTCTGTTGGGTATTTAGATTTATTTCTCACTAGAAACTGAAAATATAATAAAGGTCGGTCTGTTGGTATAAAGATTTATATCTCACTTCAGACTGAAAATATAATACAGGCCCAGTTTGAAGGAAGTATCCTAGAAATAAGGGCAGCCATCGTGTTTGACCACAGAAAGCACCGATTGATGTGTATATAAAAGAATACATTTTTTTTGGGTGATCTCTAGGTCTGGCAGTTTGGTTCTTCTACCCCAAACTTTTCCTTAAAACATGAAAGGGATGTCAACTGTTTGGACTACCATCCAGGAGGAGATAAACCATACATCGTTTCTGGAGAGGATGGGGGAACCATCAGAATATGGGATTACCAGGTATTTTTTTAGTGTGTGAGCTAATAACAACTGCTTTTCAGCTAAATTAGTTCTCAGAAGACTTTTTTTTTTTTTAAATAAAAATTACAATTGCTACAGAATTATGGGTTTTCTGAATTCATGTCCTTTCCAACACTAGCACAATTTCTTGATCTTTAGATTCACTGAAATCTTTATTTATTTCAAAAAGCTCCACATCGCTGATTCATTCATACCATTTAACTCTTTGAGTCCCAGAGGGTTTAGCATCACAGGCCTAGGGGGTAGTAAAGAAAGTAATAAAATCGGCGCATCATGCGTTCATTGGGCTCCTAGGTAGGAACCTATGAACGTATCATGCGTTCCTTGGGACTCAAAGAGTTAATCCCTTCTGTTTTGCGCAGGCAAGCACCAGTTAATGAATGCTTGTAATTCATTAGTATTTGTTCTCTGTGTGAGTTCCGCAGCCCTATTGATGTTGTAAGAGTCAACTAATTGGGGACATCCTTCAAAGTCAGGTTACATCTGCCTGAGAGGCAAGGAACCAACAGTCTGCATACAGATAAGCCAGATGTGTAAAAATGAATGTGCATGCCACACTGAGGTTCTAGAACTAGACTAAAGTACAAAGGTCGATGAACAACTACAGCTTTCGGCAGGAAGTTTACTGCCAGTGTGCCTGAAGAAGAATCAGTAATTGTTTTAGGCGTTCTGCTTGTTTCAGTACTGATTTCACAGAGTTAAATGTTCCATATTGGTACAATATTTATACCCACTTAAGGTTACCAGTGTCAGACTTGGACATTGAAAAAAGTACACCAGAGAAAACTAACCATCTGTGAGATACGATGTTTGAAAATGGCTGTGAACAAAGGCAGAAGCGATTGAGTGAGAAATGATGTGACGGCAAGAACTGTTGAAACAACCCCCATTTTTAAAGAATCAAAGAATAAAATAGTTCGGCCATCTAATGAGAATGAAACCTACGATGTCAGCAGCAGAAGCATACATCTGAAAAGTGAAATACTAAGAGGCAGAGGAAGACTGAGAAGAATAAGGATTGAAGGAGTCACTGACTTCTTGAGACTGCATAACATTACTGCATATCAAGTGACCAAGCGCACTCAGCATGGCTGCAAATCATCTGATGAACTGTGATGCCTAGCGGCATAAGCAGATATTGACAACAGAAAGAAGTGTTCCAAGACTGGTTATGTTTTGTTTTTACTGTCATAGATTTCTCATTGCTATAAAAGCTGCTCCTTCCTTTTGTGTTTAAAAGAGTTAATTTAAACTTGTTTATTTGCATCAATGTATTATATTAATGTTTCATTTTGTGCTCACAGACCAAGTCTTGTGTACAATCATTACAAGTCCACACAAAAGATGTAAATGATGTTGTCTTCCATCCATCACTTCCTGTCATCCTATCAGGATCTGCTGATGGTAAGCTTGTCAAGAAAATGTGATTTACTAGACTCTGAAGAAACTTTGAAACCCCATACTCCATAATTTACACAAATATTTAGCATCCAACAATTTCCTTGATTTACTTTCAGGATACAGCAGAAAGAAAGTGAACTCATCCCACAAGAAGAAAATATTTCAGCCACAAGAACAAAATTACCTCAGCCCAGAAGGAAACACATTAATTCATCCTACAAGAGCCACATTTTCTCAGTCTACAAAAAGCATTTATCTCAGACTAAAGTAACAAATGATTTTGTTTGTTTATCACCTTCCTCAGAGTAAGCGTAACTCAGCTGGCAACAAATGTTTATATCAGCTCACAAAAACTAGTCTGCATCAGTGGCTCTCAACCTCCTTCCTAATACAGTTCCTCATGTTGTGGCGACCCCAACCATAAATTATTTTCATTGCTACTTCATAACTTTAATGAATATGTGTTTTCCGATGGTCTTTGGCGACCCCTGTGAAAAGGTCATTTAACCCACAAAAGCATCGTGACCCGAAGGTTAAGAATCACTGGTCTACAAGAAACATGTTTCTTTTTTTTTTTTGTTCAGCTCACTTCATGTTAAGTTATCACTAGCTACATCACTGTACATTCGGCATGACTTCATCAATGTAATTTCTGCACTTCAAACAGGTACTGTTAGAATAATTCACAGCAACACATTTCGGCTTGAGAATACACTTAATTATGGTCTGGAAAGAGTCTGGACAATTTCTTGCCACAGAGGGACCAATAATGTTGCTATTGGATTTGATGAAGGCAGTATGATAATAAGGGTAAGTGGCTGCTAATAAATGTTGAAATTAGTGTTGAACACATTAATTCTTTGTATGTGTGTCTTGCTGAACTTGGTGCCCCATGATTGTTTTCTTATATATCACATTCTTGTCATTTGTATGCCTGGTCTTATATGTACACCTGTGATCACCTAATATGTTTTTATTCTTCCTCTTTTGAGAGAAATACATCACACATTGTTATGCACATCAGAAGTAAGTGTATTTGACTTTATCCCTTTCACTTTTTAAACACTTTGCTGACCAGCAATCCAGTGCATTACTGTCTCCCATTGCCATGTCACTAAATTAGATGATCATCGAATCTAGTCACTAAGAGATATGACCGGAAATTTGACGATCATCGAATTTGGTCAGAAAAGTGTTAAAGGGCCTGCGGTCTATATGGTGGATAGACCGGTTTACTGTTTTAGTCATGGCACATTTTTGCTTATAACAGTAATTAGCTGCTGCATTTTCTTCCATATGTAGACTGAAAGGATATTGTTCTGTTGTGTTCCACAGCTACTGAGTCAAGTGCTTGGCTTGACACTGTGAGCTTTGGATTTAAATTGGAATGCTTTTTGACTATGCCCAACATGATTTGTGTTGTAAATTGCAGATTAAGAAAAGGGCAACCGGGCTGTTGCCAGAGAACTTGTGTTACCTTTTACAATTAATTGCATGTGCAACTACTGATATTTTGTAACTGCTACTTCCATTGATGATGAACTCCGTTTCTAGTGCCAGACTTTTTGTGTTTTCACTTCTGACAACTGCCTTATGCATTTAATGTGTGTGTATGCTGTTGGCTTTGTCAAGACTGCAGTCTGTGTTATTTTTTTTTTTTTACAAGGGACAGTGATGGACATTTCCATTGGTACAGGAATTAAACAGTGCAGAGGCACAAATAGATCATTATGGCCTGGAATGTAGCAACTATGATATGACCTGTTTATGGCTTTTGATTTGGGGACACATGCTATATGCTTTACAGTACTACATACTGGAATCACCTTTAACTTTGTGTGTCAGACACAAACAACTTTATTACACTGCACTGAGCCAAAGACAATCTTTATCTTTTGAGTATCTGACCAGTGCTGTCTCCGAGCATAACTATGAGTGCAAAGAGAAAGATTATAAAAACAGCATATTCATTCCAACATTAAAGTGCCAAACATGGACACTATTTAAAGCCCATATACGCAAAATCACCACCTGCGAGATGATATGCCTGAGAAAAGCAGCAGCCAACCTAACCATCCGAGATCGAGTGAATAATGAAACTATCAGGCAAATTGTAGGAACGATACCTTTTACTAAATTCATCGAGAAACAGCAGATCAAGTTGTTTGGCCATCTCGTTAGAATGCAGCAAAACCAAATACCATAACAGGCACTACATCTCAGAAGATCAGCTACAAGAACAAGAGGACCGCTGCAGGATATATGGATCGACAACATTAAAGACACTCTGCGCCTTCACAGCATGGCAATAGTCAGTGGCAGCCAGCATGCACTGGATCGCCAATTATTCCTCTCCGCAGCGCTTAACGGCAGAAGTAGTTTATGATGATGATGATGCTGTATTTCTAAACCACACTATGCCAACCAGAGATCATCTTTAAAAAAAATAATTCATGTTCTACTTGCACTGACAGCTGGGGCAGGAAGAACCAGCCATATCCATGGATTCATCCGGAAAGATCATCTGGGCCAGACACTCCGAGATCCAGCAGGCCAACATCAAGGCAATAGCAGACCAGGAGATCAAGGACGGGGAGAGGTTGTCCCTGGCCGTCAAGGATATGGGTAGTTGCGAGATCTACCCCCAGACAATTGCACACGGCCCTAATGGCAGGTTGGTTGCTTGGTTAGCTGGTTTATAGATTTGTGGTTTGTTGAAAGTTGATTGTTCAGCAAAGAACTAACACCACAGCTCTCAGGACAGTCCCATAAGCGCTCTATCCTTATCTTCAGCAGCCAGTGAAGAGTTCCAGTTCTGATGGTTCCAGCAGCAGTTTAATTGTATGTCCATCTTGCCATTCCTCTAGTGTAGAATGTCAACCTGCTCCCCTGGTCACTACTAGCTGTACCATTCTCTCTCTCCAAACCGTAATGATCTATTAGTTCCTTATTTAATTGGGTGTTTGAATGTTTTGAGAGATGGTTGGTTTCTTGCTTGGATTATTCGCTGGATAGTTGGCTGACTAGCTGGTTATATGGTTGGATGGTTGGCTGACTAGCTGGTTATTTGGTTGGATGGTTGGCTGACTAGCTGGTTATTTGGTTGGTTGGCTGACTAGCTGGTTATTTGGTTGGATGGTTGGCTGACTAGCTGGTTATTTTGTTGGATGGTTGGCTGACAAGCTGGTTATTTGGTTGGATGGTTGGCTGACTAGCTGGTTATTTGGTTGGATGGTTGGCTGACTAGCTGGTTATTTGATTCAATGTTTGGTTGTAAAAGTCGAGTAATTGACCCTTTTCTGATGCATCGGACATATAGTGGTAAATCTATATTTTGATAGATCTGCTGGCACTTGATGCACGTTTGATTAACCACTTTGCCATCACGACTCCCAGTAGCTGGTTGACTAGCCACTTTGACATCACGACTCCCAGTGGTTGGTTGCCTAGCCATTTTGCCATCACGACTCCCAGTAGTTGGTTGACTAGCCACTTTGTCATCACGACTCCCAGTGGTTGGTTGACTAGCCACTTTGCCATCACGACTCCAAGTAGTTGGTTGACTAGCCACTTTGCCATCACGACTCCCAGTGGTTGGTTGACTAGCCACTTTGCCATCACGACTCCCAGTGGTTGGTTGACTGGTTGATTAATTTATTAGCAGCCATTTTTGTTCGTGGGTTTGTTGACAGACTTTGTTTGGATTGGGTGAGCTGGTTGGATATTTTATTTGTTGAATGGTTGGTTTATTTAGGGGGGGGGGGGGGGGGGAGTTCAGAGATCACAGCCATCATAAAAGACCGCTGTGATGATCCTCTTATTCTGCATTCACCCTTTCAAGGGGTAGTTGGCCTGTTGTATTGTGGTTTACCACTAGGCTGTGATTTCTGTGTCCTTTTTGGCCCAACACATCTGGTTTTAGCAAACCCTGAATTAGTCACCCTTTACAGCATGTCTGTAAGGAGGGGGAGGGGGGCAGCTTTTTTCTTTAAAGATTGGTGTTGATTTTCTGTTTGTGTCATGTGGCAAAACTGTTTAGAAAACCAGCAAGAAAAATAGATGAAAAATATATCTTTAAGCCAGCTGGACCTAGGAAGACAATAGCCAGTTCAGTTTTATTGTTGTCATATTTATTAAAAAGTAGGGAAAGCACTGTAAACGAATGAATATTTTTGCTGCAGATTTGTGGCAGTTTGTGGGGATGGAGAGTATATTATATATACAGCGATGGCTTTGAGAAGCAAGTCCTATGGCACAGGTCAGGAGTTTGTGTGGGGTCCAGATTCTTCCACCTTTGCTGTCAGAGATGATGGTTCTACTCTCAAAGTGTTCAAGAATTTTAAAGAACACAAACAGTTTAAGCCTCCTTTTGGCGCTGAAGGTAAGACTAAGATCATTTTAAATAAAAGCTTCTCTCTGTGCCTGTCTGTCTCTCTTTTTTAATTATAACTATTTTAAGGAAAAAAGGGGGGGGGGGGGGGGGGATTTCTGTCACTATCGCCCTATCTCTTTTTTTTCTATCTCTCTCCCCTTCTTTCTGTCATACTAATTTCTTTCTTTCTCTTTCTTTTTCTCAACCTGTAATACTTCCTGCATTCCTCTCACATTTTCTTTCTCTTACTATTTGATTCTCTTTCTCACTTTTTCTCCTACTCTATCTATTTCACTCTGTATGTCTTTCCTCTATATTTTACACTCTCTTACACTTTTATTATCTGTTTCTTTTCCCTTAATTTCATTGTGCTTACCATGCAGCATCTTTCAAATGTGTATCTCTCCCTGTCCTTTCCATTCTGCATCATTTCTTTTCATAAAAATCTCACTCTTACTCTGTATTATTCTTTATTTCATTTTCCCTCTCCAGCTGTCGCAAATTGTCCCTCACCTTTCCTCTTCTGTTTATCTTACAAAAATGTTATTATCACCACCATTATTATCATCTACTATTGTTATTATTATTCATATGGTTATTATTATTGATTTCTTCTTTATCTTTCATCCGAGTGACATAATTCTACTTCACTTGTTAACAGCATAGCCTCCATTTTTGTGCTTTTCCGATGACACATTTAACTTCATTGGGCATTTTTTTCACCATGTTAGCCTTCCCGTCGGTGTCTGTGGCTTAGGCATTGTGAACGCTGGGTAATGCCGGGGTGCAGGTTCGATCCCAGCTGCCTTGCGTTGGTTTCGACAGTGGTATTGAGAGCCGATCGTTGAGAAGGCATATAGGTAGCAAACTACTGGACGTAAATTTGCCTAGAAAAACCACAACAGGCAAAAAATGCTGGGGTTGGTTCTGCAACGTCATGTAAAAGAATACACAACTAACTTTTTAAGCCTTCCCAGTTGGTTTCATAGGACATGAAGTAGCTCTGTTTGTGTGGTGTCCTCTTTGTCCCTTCATCTACAGGTGTTGCCCCTGAAAAACCCGTCGAGGACAGCAATGGACTGACTGGTCAGCACTCAAGGAAGGCAGGGGCAGAACATGGGCAGTCCCTGCCATCCGAGGAGTCTGCCATAAATGCAGAGCCAACACATGATGCTCTGGTCCTGGGCTCTCTCAAGGAATTGTCACATCCTGCACATGACTGCATAACCTCACAACCATATGTTATGCTTTTCACTTATCCCAGGCTGCACACTTTGGAGATCAACAGGGAGCACTCACAAGACCAGGACTTTGATGACCACACAAATGGACACAATCCTTTTTCAGCACATTAAGACACCATTTACCTATTTGATCAGGATACTCAGCATGACAATGTAGGAAAGAAAGCATTAGGCATGGCTTCCCCTTTGGTCCAGACACTCTGAAAAATGGGCCAGTGTTAGCAGACATTTGAACTTTTCTGTCAAACAATAGACGTGTTTATGATCAGACATCTGAACATTATCTATCAAACAGTAGAATTTTGACTGCAACACTTGGTCAGACTTTTGGTCCCAACACTCAGACGAGTGGGGTCAGTGATAGCAGACATTTAAACCTTGTCTGTTACACAGTTGGACATTTGATAGTAGTACTTCTGAACCTTGCCTGCCATGCAGTAAGACTTTCAGTGGTCGGACATCTAAAACTTTGCTGTTATGTTGTAGGATATTTGACTGGCTGACATTTGAACCTAATCAGCAATTCAGTAGGAATTTCAGTCGACAGACGTTAGGACCAAGGTTTGTCATATATTAGGATATTCGGCCAGCTTCGCTCATATTCCAACTGAGCTTTTGATGGAAATTATCACCCATGCATTGGGGGTGGGCTGATGAGAGCCAGGGGATTTCTGGACACTGCATCTCAGGGGGCCACTAACTCTGAGATTTCCTGCCAGTTCAGTTAAGGCCAGTATGAGCTAATATCTGTAGCACATGACAAAGATGGGTAACAGGAGTCCTTCATGAGGATCTGTAAAACTAGCACAGAGCCTTCTGGCACACATTACAAACAGCCATAAGTTTCCTTCATGCCTTAGACTAGAATCACCATGCTACTTATTATTGACATTATTGTTTACATCTGTAATTCTAGTAGATACAGTGTCTTTTTAAAATATATATATATTGAAATTTATTTATGTCTATTTTTGAGCTTCTATCTTTGCTTTTCTATAGGGATCTTTGGTGGTCATCTACTTGGTGTCAAATCATTTAACAGTTTTGCTTTTTATGACTGGGAATCAATGAAACTCATACGCAGAATAGAGATTTCACCCAAAAAGGTTAGTTTGATTGTTTCTGTTGATATTTTAACTGACTTAGTGCCTCTGTCTCTATCTTTGATTTTTTTTCATTGCCTTCTTTGTTTATAACACTCTTTGCCACATTCTGTTTTGCCTTTTGTCTCTCACGGCCTCATTCTCTTTATCATTGGTGGCATGGAAACCTGGAAATTCATTGTCTGTCTCTTTTGCTGTGTATTTCTGTCACCTCTGTTTGGTTACACACATACACATGTACACATACACACAACAAATGTGTACCCAAAAGAGCAGGAATGCCAATAATTTACTTTCTACTGAAGCAAAGACACCTGCGCTGTGTGGGATATGTCTCCTTCATAGAGAATGGTCACATTTCAATGGATCTTCTATATGGGGAAATGCAAAAAGGAAAAGACTGCAGGAAGGCCAAGGCTCCACACATTCTCGTAGGGCACCAGGGATAATGTCTCATATGGGCTTTAACAGACCTGGCGGGAGATCTCAGAGTTAGTGGCCCCCAGAGATGCAGTGCCCAGAAATCTACTAGCTGCCATCAGCCCCCCCCAATGAATAGGTGAAAACCTACATCAAAACTTACTTCCACCATGAATAATGCTGGCCAAACACACAACAAAATGACAACTCTCGGTTAAAATGTCTGTCGAGTGAAAGAACCACTGACCTGCTGAGACTTAGCTTAAACCAAAAGATTTGATCACAGCTGAGAGATCACAGCTGAGATGAGCAACATCTCTGGTGGGTGGTAACTTGGAGAACAGTCATCTCCATAATCCTTTGTTGTCCCTCAACATTACCACCACCGTGCTGAGGTTTACAATGACAATCTGCCACCCTCATTCAGCTGATTTGGCAAAAATGTCTGTCAGATACATGCCCTATCACACAGCAACAAAGTGTTGAATGCCTGACCGCAAAAAATAGTCCTACTAACTGGCAGAAAGGTTCTTCGTCTTCTTCTTTGCGTTCGGTTTCATATGTTTAGATCAGACCATCAGGTGGGTTAACTCTATAAACTTGCATGTCAGTAGCAAGTCCTTCATGGTTCCCCATAGCTTGCTCTGCACACTTTGCTCTTGATGCCAGGTGTCTTTTCGAAGTTGTATGTAGAGTGGGCAGGTATGCAAGATGTGCTCAGGTGTTTGCGGCCCTGTTTGACAGATACACTGTGGGGACTGTATAGTTTATGCATGTGGTAGTTGAGCATGCAGTGTCCTATTTGTAGATGGAAAATTGTTGTATGTTGCTTTCTGTTGAGTTTGCTGATGGGGTCTTGTGGATGTTTACTGTTAGTTTGTTCTCTCCACAATTCCTTGTATTTTCTCTTGATGAATGTTCTGATTTTTGGTAACAATAATGGATGGGTGTGTTGTTTCTCCTGCAGAAAGGTTTTAATGTCTGCTACCATTGGCCCCACTCTCCAGAGTGTCAGGACCTGAAAGGGGAAGCCATGCCAGATGCATGCTTTTGCCATACTGTCTTTCTTAGTTTCCATATGGAAACAATGTTTAAGGTGTCTAATATATCATGTGTTGAAGAAAAATGAACTTATCTGTGTGGTCATCAAAGTCCCAGACCTGCGGGCTGATGATCACTAGAGGGCGCTGCCTGTGATGAGTGGAAGGATCAACATATGGACGTGAGGTTAAGCAGTCATGTGCATTACACATGTTGATTCTTTGGGTGAGCACAGGACCAGAGCACCATATGTTGCTCTGCATTTATGGAAGCCTTCTTGGATGGTGGGGAATGCCCATGATTTGCACCTGCCTTCCCTTGAGGACAGACCAATCTACACAAAGATGTCCTGGACGGGCTCGCCAGGGACAACACCTGTATATATGGGGACAAAGATAACATCACAACATGTCCCTGTCCCACAAAACTATCCAGGAAGTGACCTGATCAACAAATGCTTGATGAAGTCGGATGTGTCGGCTCAGAGGCACAAATATCACAGCTTTGCTGCAAACAAGCACACTGCAGTTTACAGCACTCAGACAAATAAAAAAAAGTAAGTAATGTTCTGCAGTGTAATTGTGACTGTAATACTTCAGGTTTTCTTGAGTAATGTTCTACAATGTAAATACATGTATAAAGATCTATTTTCACGTCTTGGGCGCATCGGGCATTTGGGAAGAGCATCCATATTTTTACAGACCAACTGGCACTAGGTGGGTAATGTGGTCAGCTTTACCCCAGCCATCTTTACTACTCTAGGAAATACATCCTGGTACCCATTTTCGGCTAGGTTGTCTTGCAACGCCCCATGCCATGATAAAAATCACCCCAGCCAGCAGTGGGTTATCGAGGTATGTTGGAATTACGAGTCGGACTCGCAACGCCTAAGCCACGGACGCCGCAAATACATGTATAAGATTTAAGCTTGTCTGGAGTAATGTTCTTTACTGTAATTGTGACTGTTATGTTTCAGGTTTCCAAAGTGATGTTCTATAATGTAATTATGACCAACCATCATATTTCAGGTTTTCTGGAGTGAAAATGGTCACCTGGTTTGCATGACTTCAGAAGACACACTGTACATGCTGAAATACAATTCTGAACTTGCTGAACAGGCGACTGAATTCTCAGAGTATGGCATTGATGACTCATTTGAGGTCAGTCACTATGGATTATAGATTAACAACTATAACTTGCCAGTTCCTGGCAGACACTTCAGACTGAATGGCCTTACTGTTGGATGTACTGGTTGATTGATTTGATAGATTAGTTTACTGACCTAATGATTGCTTGGTTTATTGTGTGAATTGTTGACTGGTTGATTGATTTCAGTGATATCTTGATCAAAGTAGAAATTATAAACTGGTAGTCTGATCCCTTGCTCACCTGCAAATCGGAAGGTCGTGGGTTCGAGCCCTGATGGAGCCAGACTCTGATTAAAAAAAAATTAACTTTGGCTCCCAGGTCGACCCAGCCTTGAGTGGGACCAGGTATAGTCCTGGGAATAAAGGTGGCTGGTGTGATGTTGACCCCCATCACTAACTGAGTACTGATTGATCTATTAAAAATAGATCTAACCCTATATGCTCATCATGCCTGAAGGCATGAAAAAAGTCCTTTGCTCTGATCTCTGCCCAGCTGGCTCTTATTAAGAGTATGTCTAAACTTTGGGTTAATCATCCAAAATGGGGATTATTGCTAAAAAAAATTAATATGCATTAATTTTTTCTAATCTGTGAATTAATTATTCAAAGTGGGTTTAGTCACCTAAACTGTAGATTAATTGTGCAAAGTGTCAATTAATCTTCAAAAATATATGTGGATTAATTGTTCAATCTGTTGATCAATCATCCAGACCATGGATTAATTGTCGACACTGGATTAATTATAAAAAATAAATGTAGATTACTTGTCCATATACCCTACCCTCAACTTTACTCTAACCCTCAACTATACCCTACCCTCAACTTTACTCTAACCCTCAACTATACCCTAACCCTCAACTTCACTCTAACCCTAAAATATACTCTGATCTCAACTTTACTCTAACCCTCAACTATACCCTAACCCTCAACTTTCTCTAACCCTCACAAATCTAATGCAGTGTAATCATTGAAAAAATATTAAAACATCATTATTTTTGTTGATATGTAGGTTGTCAAGGAGGTGAAGGGCACAGTGCAAACAGGCATGTGGATTGGAGATTGTTTTGTCTTCACTAGCAGCATCAACAGGTTGAATTATTGTGTCGGGGGAGAGATTGTGACAGTTGCTCATTTGGATAGGTAAAGATATGTGACTAGTTCCAAAATTCTTTTAAAATTGTTTTGTTTTTTTAAACATTAAATATTCTTTTTTTTTTTAACCTTCCAGTCCCCAGTGGGCCAGTGCTACAGATATCACCCGCCTCCATTCATCTTTGTGACTGACCTTCTCTTTCCAGTTACTGACTTCAGGTGTCTGTAGGTCTGCCTGTATATTATCTCTCCATGGTCTTCTTGGTCTACCTCATAGTCTTCTGTCATTTAACTCTTTTGTATACCAGTTTTTGTCTCTATGTTTTTAAAAAAATTCTCTCTATATGCTCCATTTGGCGTCTGTGGCTTAGGCATTGCAAATATGCTTTGTAATGTCGGGGTGCCAGATTCGATCCCGGCTGCGGACGATTCATCTTGTGCTGGTTTTGACAGTGGCGCTGAGAGCTGACCGTTTAGCAAGCAGTGGCAAACTACTGAACATAAAATTCACCTAGAAAAACCACCACAGCCAAAAATGCTGGGGTTGTTTCTGCAACGTCCTGTAAAGGATACACAAGTAACTTTTTTTTAGTATGCTCCAATCATTGCAGTCTGTTAGCCCAGTGATGCTAGTAATTATTGGGGATTTAAACTGACTTAATATGTTGGCTGTAAATAATTACCAAATGAATGAATCAAGAATTGAAAACCAAATTCCTAACACAGCTGATCGAAACAGATATGATCCAATTGAAATATTCTGTTCAGCTTCATCCTAACCTATATTATCAGCAATAGGTTTGGCACATGCGTTATCACTCATAATATCAAGGCTGTTGTCAGTATCTGGCTGAGATTCATCAGTGACAGAGCAGTATGAACAATTCCAGACCTTTTCCCTTATCATTTGATCTGGAAAAATCACACACAAATTGTGTCACACTTAATTAATTAAAAACAAATCAGAAAGTTATCCAAACACCATGCCAAACTTTGAAAATGAAACGACTTCATTCTAGTTTTTTAAAACATGGTCGTACAAATTCATTTTCCCAGCAAATGAAAGAATATTAGAGTGTCTCAGTGAAGAGCCACTAATATGGCATTCTATCTGTAAAGAGTTGAGAAAAATGACGTTTACGGAGAATCTGATCCAACCGGAAGTGTTTTGGTTATGTGGCATCTCAGGGTTAATCTTTTGCCACTAAGTAATAATACGTGAAGGGACAAATCCTAAGGAAAAGTATTAGCTATTTTATTCTGATAAAGAAAAGACACTAATTTCATTGCTTAATGACACAGTTTATGCTACTGAAAGACACTACTTTACATTGCTAAATGACACGGTTTATGCTGCTAAAAGAAACTTCTTTATATTGCTAAGTGACACATTTTATGCTGCTAAATGAAACAATTTATATTGCCAAATGAAACTGAGCATTAAATGAAGTTTCATCAATTTACAGAGAAATGTATGTTCTTGGCTACATACCCAAAGACAATCGGCTGTATCTGTGTGACAAAGAACTCAACATCATCAGTTACTCCCTCCTTGTGTCAGTGCTGGACTACCAGACAGCTGTCATGAGACAAGACTTTGATTCGGCAGATAAGATTTTGCCAGTCGTTCCTACAGAGCAGCGTACAAGAGTGGCCATGTTTCTAGAAAAACAGGTTAATTTTCAATTTTCTTAGCTTCTGGTTTTGTTTTTATTTTGTTAGTATCATTATCATGTTAAATGGTCAGTGGTGATATGAAAAATAGTTTGAGATATACCAAACCAAAAATATGTTCAGTTTGACCATCATTGTTATGCTACTGCATTATCTTTGATTAACCAACTTAAGAGAGTGACATTTGCTTTTTTGAATAATGAATTAATTCTTTGAATCATTGAGTGAAGACATTATTCCTCTGTTTTATTAAATAATGTATTATTTGTTTAGTTAAACAAATTAAGGGGGTATTTTTGCTTTATTGATTAGTGCATTAATGATACTAATATCTGCCTAGTTAGTTAATATAGTATTTGTTTAACTAAACAAATTAAGGCAGTAGTTTTGCATATATTCATTAATTCAGTCAGTACCAGCATTAATGACCTCAACCCAAGTCAGCAAGGTAACATGCATATTAAATGTATAAGGCAGCCGTCAAAAGTGCCAGTACCAACAGTCCACTGTTAAAATCGCAGCTCATTGTCAGTTGAATAAGTAATTACAACAGATCTGCAGTTGTACACACAATTAATCATGTTAAGGCCCAAACAGTTCTGTGACAACAGGCCACTCATCATTTTCTTTCTAAATCGGAAGCTCACAAAATTAAGAGCATTAAACACAGTCAAAAAGCAGTTGAAAAGCACTCCTTATGAAATCCACATCTTACAGTGTCATGCCATGCACTCAGTTCATTAGCTGGGCGATGGAACTATTAACTTTCACTCCAGATATGAGTGGGAGGAAATGCAACAGCCAACAGTTTAAAGAACCAGATAACTTGCTAACTCAAACACCAGCCTGCCATACTGGGCTGGAGGATAAAAGAGAAAAACAAATGTATACTGTCTTTGGATTAACCAATTACATCAACCAATCTGGTGCTTCCTTCGAAGTCGGAGTGCATCTGTAGAAGCAGCAAGAAACAACCAGTTGCACATAAATAAGCCAGAAATACACAAAACTCAGGCCCTGGCACAAAGCCGAAGTCAAAATGGACGAACAACCAGGACTTTCCACTGGAGCGTACAGTCTGTGAACAAAGAAGAACAAGGATTAATCAATGAACATAACATGAGCTGCATGGTGCAGAAAGTGTTAAAGTTTTTTTGTTTTGTTTTTGTGTGTGTGCTGTAGTTTGATAAACATTGTTGTTGTTTTTGGTTTGATTAACTAGAGTAAGGCAGTAATATTTGCTTTATTAATTAATGTATTTTTTGACTGATTGGACGTGACAATTCCTTGGTTGAGCCATGGACCAGAGCATCATGTGTCGGCTCTGCATTTATAGAATAGACTTCTTGGATGGAGGGGAATGCCTTCCTTCCCTAAGGGCCGACCATTCTATACTTGGTTGCCTTGGATGGGTTCTCCTGGGGCAATACCTGTAGATAACAGGACAAAGAGAACACAACATATATAAGGCTACGTCATGTCCCACTAAATTATCTGGGAAGTTAACCCGATGAACACATGCTTGATGAAGCTGGATAATGTCAGCCAAAAGGCGCATATATTGTAGCTTTGCTGTAAGGCACAACACAATTATGTGGGGGGGAAGAGAACATCACTCCTATAAGGCTATGTCATGTCCCACTAAACTATCTGAGAAGTTAACCCGGTGAACAAATGCTTCACGAAGTTGGATAGTGTCAGCCGAAATGCATAATTGTAGTTTTGCTGTAAACAGGCACAACACAATTATGTTACTCGGATGAACGGAAAGAAGAAGAAAAAGATTTGATTGATAAACCGTATGAAAATGTAATCTTTGTTCTTTAGAATAATGTATTATCAATTTTATATGTATGTAACAGAAACATTTTTTGTCAGGGATTCAGACCACAGGCTTTGGCAGTTACTACAGACCTTGACCATAAGTTTGACCTGGCAATACAACTTGGTGACCTAAAAACTGCATACAGCATAGCCAGACAGCATGACTTGAGTGACAAGTGGAAACAACTTGCAGTGCTGGCAATCAAAAGCTCAGAGTTTAGCCTCGCTCAAGAATGTATGTTTCAGTCAAAGGATTTTGGTGGTCTTTTGCTTCTGGCTACAAGTTCTGGACATGGACATGTGATGGCCAAACTGGCACAAGAAGCGTCAGATGCTGGCCAGAATAATGTTGCATTTGTAGCCAACTTTGTGATGGGAAGGTAATGTCACTGGTAAATTTGATATGGTTTCATCTTATAAAGTAAAATAACAATTGCCTAAAAGTGGTTTAAATTACACTCTGGATAATCTGGTAATCTGGTAATCCTAGTTTCAGCTTCATAGCGAACGGGTCACCCCATAGTTGCTCCGCTCCTGTGCCAACGAAAAACACACGTAGCTCACAGTGTCACGCCATGCACTCAACTCAGAAGCTGGGCGATGAAACTATATCCTTCCAGTCTACAAATGGAGCAAAAATGCAACGGCCACCGTCTGGCAGGAAAAAAAAGGTGGCCCATTTTGACCTGAAGCATTATATGAGGATTAATAAACGGTCACCCCAGCAGTACCGTCATTATTAGCTGGGGAAGGGACTTAGGACATTACATCCACCAGCAGGCGTCGCCCCTACAACGACCTGCCTGCCTTCGTTTGTTCACCCAACAGCCATGCAGTTCTTTGGCACGAAGGAGGCACCTTGAACTTGGGTTTCGGACTACCGACTCCCTACATGTTTTGTTATCACACTTGATGTCACTGCACATTGGGTATACCCATGCGTGCTCAGTTCTCCAAAGCAGCAGCCACTCCAAATTACTTCTACTAATTGTCCCCATGAGAAGCTGGTTATATCGTCTCCTTTCTCGGCCCCGAAGACGGCAAAGATGTGCATCACCATGCTTAACTCCCATGTCACGCAATCGTGTTAGTGTCAGTTGGATTCCTCATTCTCCACTAAGTCAGACCAGATTTCGTACAGCGTTGATTAAAACCTTACGATATCTGCTCTTTCACATGCTACACTTTTCCCTGCAATCCTTTATTAGTGCAGTGCTCACTAAACCCTACACTGCTAACATTCCTGCTAGGACATTCAATGCTACCATTCATATAATGCCAGCTTCATATAAATGACACCCTTTTAGCTCAGTATTAATGATACCATTCTAGCTTCATATAAATGACACCCTTTTAGATTAATATATATGATACCATTTTAAAAGTAAAGTAAAGGACCCTTTTCCATGCCATTAGGCACACTGGGCATGTAGTGCTTGACTTATATTTTATTTTTCAGTTAGCAGTCGGTGGCTGATGTGGTCAACATCACGCTGGCCATTTTTACTGCCTAGTATTTTACCTGCTACCCACTTCAGGCTGGGTCGACCATGATACCATTTTAGCTTTTTATATATAAATGATACCTTTAGCTTTTTATAAATAAATGATACTCTTTAGCTTTTTATAAATGATGCAATTTTAACTATATAAATGATGTCATTTTAACTTTATATAAATGATACCCTTTTAGCTTTTTATAAATGATACCCTTTTAGCTTTATATAAATTATACCCTTTAAGCTTTTTTTAAATGATACCCTTTTAGCTTTATATAAATGATACCCTTTTAGCTTTTTATAAATGATACCCTTTTAGCTTTATATAAATTATACCATTTTAGCTTTACATAAATGATACCATTTTAGCTTTCTATAAATAATACCATATAATTTTCCAAATTGTGTGTTGTGACACATTAGTCTTGTCAGTTGCAGTGCAAAGATGTGTTGCACAAATGCAAAGTGTTAAATAGAGACATTGGCATGCAACGCCAACAAAGATGGCTTAAAATAAATGAAAGGTTCTCATGACATAGGTTGTGTAGTGAAATGTTTTGTTACTACAATTTATGTATGTGTCCTTATTTTTGATAAGTTCAGGAGTGGGAAAACTGTGACCCGCAGTCTGAGCACTTTTCATTGGCCAGCGATGCTGGTGTAAAATTAATATTGAATCTGGCCCCTTGAGCTCACAAATTAGCAGAATACAAAAGCATACTTTCATTTGCAGAAAGAAAAAATCCAGATGTCATTATAAAAAAAAAAGTGATAACCTAAAAAAAAAAAACAATGATAAACAGAAACTGATGTTGCATAATCTTTGATTCTGCTTGTGAAACACATGTTGCGGGCAAACTCAGACATTAGGAGACACTGTCTGTCTGTGAACTTTAATTATAAAATATAAACGACGACCACCATTCTTTTTCTCTGGTTGGCAAGTTTATAGATCAAAAGTGTTCATTAATCTGTCTCTATTTTTCCACAAAAATATTGTGTTATGAGGAAATCTGGATGTTATGTTTATAATGAGTTTTTTCTATATAGCCCACAATCAGGTTGATAATTCTAAATTTGACCTGCAGACCTAAAAAGATTGCCCTCCCCTGGGTTAGTTTAACCTCTTGTTTTCTAGTAGACTGAATTAATGTCGCAAAGTTATATATATATTTAATAAGTATGTCACCAACATATATAGTGTAGAAAGCTCTGCTTTAAAGAATTGTTGCACATTCAGAATCTGAATTGTAAAACTATTCTCCAGGTGTGAAGAGTGCCTGGAAATCCTAATAAAAAGCAAGCGTCTGCCAGAAGCTGCTTTATTTGCGAGAACTTACCTCCCCTCACAGACTTCAAGGTAATGAAATTTTTGAAGCACTTGAATTGTGCATGAAAAATTATTTAATTTATTTCAAAAGCATATAGAGATTTATTTACCATCTGAATTAAACCTGCAAAATTCAAGTATTTAAATTAATTTACTGTTTGAATTGTCTATAAACACATGAAGTCACCGTTGAATTGTGCATACAGAAAGTAATTGAAACATTTGAATTGTGTATATTATTATTATATCAGTAGAATATTTTCATTTCCTTAACAAAAATTAAAGGACCCTTTCCATACCTTTGGTGCATCAGGCATACTTTGCGTGACCTATATTTTTTTACAGACCAGTTGGCACTCACTGGGTAATAGAATCAGCATCACGCCAACCACCTTGACTTCCCAGGACATAACTTGGTACCCCAAAAGAAAAAAAACCCCGCCTCAATGTGAACTTGAACCTTAGACCTTCAGCTTGGCAGGCTAGCACCCAGCCACTGTGCTGCTGCAGCTCCCATTCATGAACTACCTAAGTACAGATTATACATTCTGGGCAGCACATTTTGTTCAAGGCAAGGCCCCCCCCCCCCCCCCCCCCCCCCACCTCGCAATCATTTTCCTTTTCCACTTCAGCAAAGGAAAAATTTAATGAACATATGATAATTGCATGATATCTCATAATGTCATAGTACTCTAAATTGTTATTGTAACTCACAATTTCATGTTATCTCTTGACTCTAGAGTGGTAACAGAGTGGAAAAGTTATACGGCAACTTTCAGCAAGAAATTATCGAGTGCAATTGCAGATCCAACAGAGTACCAAAACCTGTTTCATGGTCATCAGGAGGCGCTGAGAACCGAACAGTTTCTAAAGCAACAGAGGCTGAATGCTTTACCTGCCGCAGCATACTCTGTCACAGCAGTAAGTCTTTTTCTTTTTTTCCTGCTGCTTGCGTCATAAAGCATAACAGAGAGGAAAGATGTAGTTTCCTGTCTCTTGCTCATTGATTAGCTTGTGTTAATGTCATTCTGCCTTTCTGTAGTGTCTTTTTTACACCCTTTGCACATCTCTTTCTTGATTGGTGTTTTGACTAGTAGTTTGCTGTTTTCGTGTAGTTCGCTCTAGCTGCTGGCTGAATTTGTTCCATTTTGACTAGATGAGAAAATCATTTGATTCTTTGATGTTCTATGAAAAAATCTACTGGTCTTAATAAACATATACACAGGCTTTGTCTAAGTAGTTCACCATTGTGTCCATGTGGGCTGTCTGTGCAAACTGCAGAACATGTCCTGCAAAAATGCTCCTTGTATGAAATTATTTACACTTCAAGCTGTCCCTTTGTGGGATGCAATTTTTGTTATTTTGAAGCCCCACCCCAGCTTTTGCCAGGAGCCCTATATATAGCCGGACCATAAAAATGGCCTAACGGCTGAACAGGGTTTCCAGGACATCCCCTCAGGTGATCCTCATCTGCATAGTGGCACTTTGTGTCACTGGGTGTTTATCGCTTGTGTTATGTCCTGATGGGGTAAAACTTACCTATCTACTCTTGTATGGCCCATTAAGAAAGGGATATCGGCCCTGTTAGTCAACACAATACTCAGAGTTGTATGGAACTAAAAAAACTCCTAAAAACAGTCAATTTTATCATTTGAACAAATCTGCCGGTGTAAATCAGAGAACGATCACAAGAAGAAGATGTACTGGCACTGTGCCTACAACCACCATTGTTGTTAGCTCTTCTCTGTTCTTATTCTCCATGCTGCATTTCTGAAAATCTCATCTCCTGTGTTGTAATACATCACAGATGCATTTACAGGTCATGAAGACAATTTTCTTATGTAGTGAAGACATGTGTGAACTAACAGTAAGTAAACAAGTAAAGGAGCCGTGACATGCCAGTAGTGCATTTAGCATATGATGCTAAATTCATATTTTATATAGATCAATTAGCACCACCAGTAACTAACAATGATTACTTGAAAGAAGCTAATGAAAGTAGATCTCTATATACAACAATGAGAAAGAGACAAACACTGTTCTTTGGCCATGTAATGAGAAGAGAGACATTGGAGAATATTGTGACAACTGTAAAAATCAGTGGAAAAAAGGGGTAGAGGCAGACCAAGAGAAACAATGCTGGAGGGGCTGAAACAATGGCATGGAGGGATATCATCAAGAGCTGTTCCAGGCAACCAAGGATCATGATCTGTGAAGACCCATTAGCGCCAATGCCAGCTAGCAGGGCACATAATGATGATTGTGAATTAGCACCTTAATGGGTGATGTGGTTAGCATGATGCCAGCTGCCTTTATCTTCCAGTGCTTTACTTAGTACCTATTTGAGACTGGGTCAAACTGGAAGTCAAAGTCCTTTGATGCAGATTTCTTCTTCTTCTTCTTCACATTCACAGGCTGTAAACTCCAGCAGAAAGTTCTAGTTATTCATCCACTTCTGGACTCTAGTCCTGTTTCAGAACCTGAGTGTTGTGTGCACATTCAATTTATAGATCTGACTCATGTGTATGCAGACTGTTGGTTCCTTGCCTCTCAGGCAGATGTACTCTGACTTTAAAGGAAGCTCCCAATTAGTAGACTCTTAAGACATGCTTGTTGGACAGGCAGTTGGTCTGTACTTGTTTTCCCCACACTGGGACCCTGGAACCGACACAGCAAGATGCAGATTTGAACCCACGACCTTCTAGCCCACAGGAGGAGGGTGAATGAATGTTGAACAGCCTGTATTTTAACTGTGTCTTCTTCCTCTTCTATTTTCTCCCGTAAAAGGGTGGATGGCACATTATGTTGTAGTTGACAGCTAATTTGCAATATCTTTCAGCTCAACACATTTGATTTCTTCTTCTTCTTGTTTGTTCGTCCCAGTGACGTAATAGCTTTGTGCCTGTTTACAACAAAGCTGCTTTTTTTGCACCTTTCGGTTGACACATCCGAACATTTGTTGACCAGGTTAACTTCTTGGACACATGATTTTAGCAACAGCAAACCTCTAATTATTTGCTGTCTGTCACATGCTTGTGAGGGTGGCAGTTGATTAATGTCCCCTCCACCTCAAATTTGAGAATTCTTTCTTGATTCACAGTATGGTAAGAATTTTTTCGTAACAAAATATATAAATATTGACTGGTACAAAATAAGTATGGCAGTAATAACATGAACGGAGGATAAAGGAAATGAAACAAACCTATGAAAACACCAACAATGCTTAAACTTTTGTTGCACTGCATATGATACTAGCTGCCTTGACATGTTTGTGACCTTGCTTTTGTTCTCAGACATCATCAGAGAGAAATACAGTGCAGGAAATGCTGCAGGCAGAAAAATCAGGCACATACGTGTACAAGGAACCAGTTCTGTCAGACACTGCTGAGATTTTAGACGACGACAGCAGTGAATCAGACGGATTTGTGAAAGTGTATAGTGTACCTCAAGTGAAGGTTGGTCTTTACCAAGAATTTTTGTTGTTGCTAAAACAATAAACAGGATATTTATGTTACCTTCTTCTGCGTTTCCTTAAAAGAGCAGTTGACATGTTGTGTTGTAGTTCACAGCTAGGCTGTGACCCTGTACTTTTTGAATCAACATATCCGATTTCAGCAAACACTTAGCCGCCTATTGCAACATGCCTAATCAGGGTAGTGGGTTTGTTCTTTTCCCCCTTATAACTGGGATGGCTTGACCCACACGTTTTTTTATGTTAACCCTTCTAAGCAAGACAACTTGTCATATGTTCATTGATATTAGTCTTATTATTTGACACTTTGTTTTTTCCTGTGGATGTTTTTTCCTCCAAGTTCTTGTTAGCAGTGCTTGACATTTTGTATGTGCCACCTAAAGCAAAGTTTAGAGACTACTGGTCTAAAAACAGTTAACTTTTCTTTCTCTGCTGCAGAAGACAGTTGTAACATTCTCTTCTCCTCTTTCACTTAATCTGTCTTTGATTCCCCAGTAGAGCATAGGCCCTCAACCAACTCACGCTATGATGGCTTTGCACTCTTCTCTGGTTGGTTGGTTTTTGTGGCCATCGTATTTTCTGGGATGCGGTGGCCAACCCCAGATCCAACTCTACCCTTAGTTACCTGGTAGGGTGCGGTGTTACTATTCTTAGTTCTTTGTGAGGGTCCTGTAACACATTGGCAGGCTGTTAGAGTAACTTCCCCTTGTGGGTTATAGGACCGCATTTTGGCAGAGGAGGAGAACTGATCCACTGTTTCCACCCTCCCCCCCCCCCCCCCAAACAACCGTGTACTAAAAGTTGAATAATTACTAGTTCTGGGAAGTAAAGGCAGTCAGCATAATATTTACAACATAATTGATTAAGTGTTAATTGGTCAATAAAAATATACAACTAGCACCACTTAAAATGAAAAAGGGTTCTTTTACTTATCGAGCAATAGAATAAAACGTTTATATTTGAGTGGGAGTTTTATGTTTGAGTGGATGTTTATGTTTGAGCGGGAAGTTTATTCTTCAGTGAAGATTCATATTAAACTGTGATTAAATGAGGTTTACATTAGACTGTCATTGATGGGAGGTTTATATTAGAGCATTATCGATGTGAGGCTTATTTTAGACTGTCACTAAAGGGAGGTTTATATTAAACTGTCACTAAAGGGAGGTTTGTATTAAATATCACTAATGGGAGGTTTATATTAAACTGTCACTAGTAGGAGGTTTATATTAAATATCACTAATTGGAGATTTATATTAAACTGTCACTAATGAAAGGTTTATATTAAATATCACTAATGGGAGGTTTATATTAAACTGTCACTAATGGGAGGTTTATATTAAACTGTCACTAATGGGAGGTTTATATTAAATATCACTAATGGGAGGTTTAAATTAAATATCACTGATGGGAGGTTTATATTAAATAGAAGAATTGAAGGCCATGTTAAGGTTAAATGACCACAGGTTTAATTTGTTATTATACATGCATTCCTTCACTGGCAGGCTTTATGATTTCTAGAAGTTATCCAGAGAGGAAAGCAGGGAGTTAGGGAACTGGCCAACGTACTTCATTATGCTCTGATTAAAATAGTTGAAGGGTTACCACTTCCTGCAACAGTTTGTGCCTAGAACCATTTTTGTCTATTTTTACCCAGCAGGCAGCATCTTTATTAGACAACCCTGGAGCAGAGCGTGAGGACATACAGGAGTCAGCATCCCATTCTGATTTTTCTCAGGCCATGTCATCTTTAACTATGGACCCAGAAAATGCAAACCGAATCCTGTCTAAAAAAATTGCAGAAAACAAAGATTCACTCGAATCCACCAAGATAGATTCTATAGATCTGGAAAGAGTTGTGCTGAAATACCAAGTTGAAACAGACCTGGAAAAAGAGCTGCAAGCTGTACTTGATGATGTTGACCTTGATGACTTTGACTTGGCGGTGAGTTGTGTGGTTCTGTTGCACTTAATTTTTTCTTCGGCCAGTTACCCCATTGAAGGGTTGTAGGTGATGTACGGATCTGATGTATGCTCTTTCTAATGAATTGTGAAAGTTTATTATCATTTCTTTCAGGCTGTTCTTAATACTGTTGTTGCGTATTTTGCATATTTTTCTATTCACTCTGTATTCATTGTAAATCCTCAGTGTGGCTTTCTGTGGTAGTTGTATGCAGATTTCATTTCTAGTCTTCTATTTCTTAATATTTTAATGTTACTATTAGGTTATTGAACTAAAACCCAAAAGTTTAGAGGAAAAAAAAATTGTGTTTTCTGCTTTTTGGGGGCATTATTTTTGGCTGGTTTTGTTTTTGCATGTGGTGTTTTTGGACTTTGTTTTAGGTAAGTTTTTATTGATTTATGTGTGTGTGTGTGCATTTGGGAGTGTGAGAGAGAGAGAGGGAGATTTGGTGACTTTGATTTATCTGTGTTTTAAACTGTCCTAATAATACCATTTAAACGACCACTAATATTAAGACACAATTATATGTTGTGTGTTCTAAAGTCGGCAAACCAGACTATCTCTATATCTGTGCAGACAATGATTGCGACATTAACTATATTAGACACGTGCGATTTCTATTGTCTTTCTTTTCCAAGAAACTTCGATGAGGGAGAGTAGTAGGTGGATTTGGGGGGTGGGAGGGGGGCATTGAAGACTATCTCTATATCTGCGCAGACAATGATTGTGACAGTAACCATATTAGACACGTGCAATTTGTATTTTCTTTCTTTTCCATTTAGCCAAACTAGCCACAGCAACACATGGCCGGGTACAGCTAGTATATCTATATATTATCAAAGAAAGAATCCATTCTCTTCTTCTTCTTTTACCTTGTCGGGTGTCGAGGGAGATAGAAGGTCCTGCTTCGTGCTCTTCGACCATAGACATATAGTGGTGCTGTTGAGTTTCTCTGATGTTATCTTCCCGTCTTGTTCTTAGTCTACCTCTTGATGTACATCCCTCTCCTCTTTTAGTATATACCTTGTATGGTATAGCATCAGAAGGCATTCTTTCCAAGTGGGGGCAAACCATTTGATTTGCTGTCATTGTATGTAATTTAGGATTGGTTCTGTGCCGACTATATCTCATATGACCTCATTCCTGGTTTTATCTTCCTTAAAATGTAAATGTATTAATAATAATAAAAATTAGTTATTAGTGACCTTATAAAATTAGTTTTTTAAAGATTGGGGGAAGGAGGGGGTAATTACATCAGGATCATTACTCATTTCATTTTTAGCTTTACTGGGGAGAGTTAAACTTGTTTGCTGCATGTTTTCTCTGCACATTTGTTGTGTTGTCTTAATCTTTCTGTTGTCAATATTTTTGTTGAATAATCTTGTTGTGTATGTGTATAGTATTTTTGCTTTCATTGGCTTTGATTTTTATTTTGCTGTCTGAATCTCTCAGGTTTTATTTTGTACCTTTTCTGCCTGCATTGTTTCACGTTAGCTTCAAGAATGTTTTCTTTATCTTCATCATCATCACCAACAATCTTTGTTTACCTTTCTCTTAAACAGGATGTGGATCTAGACATGGATGAACTACTCGATGCTTGATGCTGAAAAATTCCACTTTCTCAGTTATACATGCATCAGATTTCACTGACATTCCAAAGACATCAGATTTTGCTGACATTCCAAAGATACTAGATTCAGCTGACATTCCGAAGACATCAGATTTCACTGATATTTGAAAAACGTCACATAATATAGAATTTCACAGAAGATTACAATTTTTCTCCACTTGTCACCATTTTGTCCCAGCTAAAGAGTAAATGGATGAAAAAAAAGAAAGAAATATCTAAGGCTTTGTGTGAAAGGTAGCGATCAAATGGACCAATCAGCAAGCAGTGCACCAACCCATGTGGGAAGAAGCATGAACTGAGCAGATATTGTCAACACTGTAAGGACTAGGGTTAGTGGATAACGACGAATCTCTGACACTAACACAGTTGCGTGACATAAGAGTAAAGCACGTATACGCTGCCTTCAGGGCCAAGACAGGAGATATTATAACCAGCTCTTCATGGTAACAATCAGCATAGGTACCTTGGAGTGGCTGCTGCATCGGAGGATTGAACATGCGTAGGGAGTGGCCAGTGTGCAATGACGTCGATTGTGATAACATAACAATATGGCAGGGTTACTCAGGGGCTGAAATTTTGAAAATGGGGATTGTAACTGGCCAGATGCCAGAGCCTCAGTATAGAAAAATAATTAAAGCAACACAACTGGCAGTGATATGTGGGCCAGTTGCTAGATTTTGCCTGTGATCCACCTTTAATGGTCCTGCTGTACGGTATCATCTTTAAGGAGAATTCTACGAATATTTTGGCCAAAGAAGATCACAACTGAAGAACTGAGGAGGAAAACAGAATGTGTATCACTGGCTAATGTTATCAAAGTAAGACGATGGAGATGGCTTGGACATGTTTGTAGAATGCCTTGTGACACTCTGGAAAAAAAAACAGCTCTGCAGTGGACAGCAGATGGGAAAAGGAGACGTGGACGACTAAGGAAACCAGGAGGACAATAGAACGGGAAATGAAGGAATGTAATCTGACATGGGATACCATGGGCAGAAAGGCAGCAGACTGGCAGCAATGGAGGTCACTTGTGAATGCCTTATGTGTCAACAGCGACATGAAGAGGATATAGATATAGATGGTATCATCAGGTCTTCATCTCCGATCAGCGTTTGCTCTGTGACTATTTACAGACCAATCTGGTAATCTTTGAGCTTTATAGCAAACAGGTCACCCCATAGTTGCTCCGCTCGTGTGCCAACAAAAACACAGAATGTTTATCACAGTCCCTTGTGGAAAGATTGACAGACAGCTGTCTCAGCATATGCACTAGCATACACACACATTAAAAGCATACGATAGCCATCTGAAGTGATAACACAAACAGTCCGACATTAGAAAAATGCAGTTCATCATGGATGGCAGCAGAAGACACCAACAGATCAGCAGTTGCACATGCAACCAATTTTAATCACATACTGGCACCACCAATATTGGGACAACAGGCATTACACCATTTTCTGAATCTACAATTCACACCACCACGTTGGTCACAGTAGAAAAACATTTCAACTGAAAAACAGCAGCTCTCAGTGTCACGCATGCACTCAACTTAGAAGCTGGGTGACGAAAGTATCCTTTCAATCTACAAACGGAGCAAAAATGCACCGGCCACTGTCTGGCAGAAGCAAAAAAAAATTGCCGCGGCTCACAACAGTGACAGTGTCTAGCGCCCATTTTGACAAGTTAGCACTTGGTGGGAGATGGGGCCAACATCAAGCCAGCCAGCTTTACATTTCAGGACTTTACCTAGTATTAATTCAAAATCACTTAAAAAAAAAATTCTAGCTCCGTTTGGATTTGAACTCTTGACTTTTGGATATGCAGGCGAGTGTCAGCCGCTACACCTTGGCGGCTTCCTTCCTTTTGTTTCAAGGAATTACAGTTAATCTTTAAACCTGTGACAGCTGAGAGAATCAGTATTTCAGAACAGCGTGAGACCGGTCACAAAGACATTTCATTTCCCAATGTCAGGACAACAGTTGTCACGATCTAGTCACACATGAGATGAAGGGTCTGGAAAACACTGTGACAGTGTAAAGATCAAAGATGTTTGAGACAGAGGAAGCAATATAAAGGTTTACAGAAAAGTGCTGAAGACAATCAGCCATTGAAATGATCAACAATGCATGTTTTTCTAGCAATGGCATATGATAGATGATGAGATAAATGTTTGTTACTTGAAGGTAAAAATGTATCCCAGATAAAAAGTGTGACAGTTTTGGTTGTCTGGAATAAACTGTATTTAAAGTGATCATGCCTGGCAATAAAAGATGTGAAGTAGCACATCTTTTTGGGGGGGATAAAAGGTATGAAAGTGGCAATTTTAAAAGTACAATAAACGGTATAAAAGTGACAAGTTTGTGAGGATAAAAGGATATGAAAGTGATAACTGTTTTATAAGTGATGGGATAAAAGTATTCAAATGATAACTGGTTGAGATAAAAGGTATGAAAGTGGTTTTTTGGACATAAGATTATGTTTATATATATATATATATATATATATATATATATATATATATATATATATATATATATATATATATATATATATATATATATATTATATATATATATATATATATATATATATATATATATATATATATATATAATATATATATATATATATATATATTATATATATATATATATATAATATATATCATATATATATATATATATATATATATATATATATATATATGGCCAGTTCTGTAATATGGACAATGAATAAACAGAGTGAAAAACATATTGACTAATTTGGGATGTGATGTTTATTCATCATAAGATCTACATTTTCTGTTCAGTGCTGTGGGGAAAGAACAGTTTGCAATCCACTGCTTGATCCATAGCACTAGTACTGTCATTCTATGTCAGCATCAATGATTTTAATGACATCAATCCATATCTTCTTTGGGCAACCTCTTACTTTCATTCCAGGTCTGTTCAGATGTAGTGCTTGTGTTGGTTGTTGTGGCTGCATTCTAAAGCGATGACCAAACCATCTGATCTTCTGTTTCTCAATGCATTTGATGCAAAGTTTTGCCACAGTCTGTCAGTGTAATTTTTCACCTTTTCATGGATGGTAAAGTTGGCAGCTTTTCTCAGGCATCTTGTCTCACAGGTATTCATTTTCCGTAGGTTAGCCTTTGATATTGTCCAAGATTGGCACTGTCTGCACAGTGATTAGTAAGGACTATCATCACAGCACTTGGGACAGACCCACAGGTGCTCTGATCTTCTCCTCAGTAGCTCCACAAGAGTAAAATGACTGATCACATCCATAATGTGTTTATTAATCAGTCATCTAGTGCCTTTTGGGTAACGTTCATATCTGGCTGTCCCAGGCTGCACCCCAATGTCCACTAACCTCAACAAGGATACTGAGTCCTGCTTGTTGACATGATCTGCTTTGCAATACAGCTAGGCTGCAACATCTGCAGCAAACATCCGATTTCAGCAAATCCCTTAATTGTCATCAATGTTTTTTTTTGCAGAACAAATATGTAACAACTAACACCAAAACAACACTAGTCAGTACAATATTTGTACCAACATTGTGTTATCAGTGCCAACCTGGACATTAACAACAACAAAAAAATGAAAGGAAAATGGAAACAGCAGACAGCAGAAATGAAGTGTCTAAGACGAAGAAATTAATCAGAAGAGAGAAGAACAGAAGGACCAGAAATGAGGATATTAGGAAACAACAGATCAAGTGGTCTAGACAGGTGTCACGACTTCCCCAGATTGTGCAGCACAGAGACCCCCCTATCCACTTGGATGTAATGGAAGCAGAGCCAGAGATCGACCATGCAAATTATGGATAGATGGAATATCTGAGGCCATAAAAACCAGCAAGTATGTAGCACACACCAAAGCTGGTACCTGAAGCCTCTTCAAATCCTAATGCTGATAGGCAGAATAGGACAAGAAAAGAAAAACCTACCCAGTAATTCATAAACTTCCACACAACCATTAAAAAAAAAAAAAAAAAAACAGCCAGTAATTCATAAACTTTCACACAACCATGATAAAAAAAAATATGAGCCAGTAATTCATCAACCACAACCTGTATTTACATCATAAAACATGTTAACCAAAACAATTCATCATGTCAAAACATTTGGTCCCACTACTGTGCTGGCTGATGTAACAGGTATAAGGTGCTAGGCTGCTAGCTTTATATGGAAACAAGCATTCAATGGCAGATATGGTCAGTATCACACTGGCCACCTTTATTTCCAAGGACATTTCCTAGGCTGATCAGGTTCCGGTCATTTTACAAGATCAGCTCTCAATGTGGCACTCAAACCTACGCCCACTGGGTCGGCAAGCAAGTGCCACCATCAGTGCAGCTATCATGTCACTTGTCACAAAACTGCTCAGAGAGACATCTGTCAAAATAATCTGATCACAAGACACAACAGATTACAAAGGAAGGAACAAATCAGAATAACAAATTCTTCTTCTCCACATTCACTAGCTGTAAACTCGGGTGGAAAGTTCTGATTGGTCGTCCACTTCTGGGCTTTATATTTAGTCTTCTTCCAGAACCTGAGTGCCGAGTGTACATCCATTTTTACACATGACTTATTTGTATGCAGACTCTTGGTTCCTCACCTCAAAGGCATTGACCTACTAATTAGTCGACTTCTATGACATGCTTATTGTTGAGGAAGGGGTTGGTCTATTCTCTTCCTGCCCCCCCCCCCCCCCCTCCGAATGGGGCTCTGGTGCCCACATGTGGGGGGGGGGGGGGGGACAACAAATTGAAACCAGAAAAGGAATGTCATACAATGAATATTAAAAACAATGGATAAATTTATTTCGTCATGGGTAAAATCTATCCTAAAATACTAAACATTCACTGCTGAAATGAGTGGAAATATTAACTGACAAAATAAAATTAGCAACCAGTAAACATGATTACTGGATACAGATAGTAAATAATTTTATAGCTGAC